TTTCTGTTTCTGTGCTATACTATTTCAATCCTGACAGAGACTGCAAATTTAAAAATCACAACAGTGTTTGCTGACCTACTCTAAGCATGACCATGGTCATATGTTAAATGCTTACTGTGTTAGTTGCTTTTTTTGGAGAGTGTGCCCAATACAGCTTCATAACAAGGTGACTGGTTTTTCATAGTGAATGTAGCTTTCTAACTAATGAAACTCGTGAAACCTGTATTATGGAGAGTTTCAATGTGTTTGACTCATCTAGATGGCCTCTCATTCAAGTGGAGTTACTTTGGAAGTGTCCTGGAATATGTATATCAGTTATACACGGCTCGTATGTATTTCTTCTTGGGTGAAATGAAAAATTTAATTATATGAAAAAAATGCAAATTGCTGCCAACTGTGTTAACTGTGAGAGAGTTGCATTATCTTCTAACATAAATTGTCAGTGAATTAAAGAAAAGACGTTTTGGAAGCTGATCTGATTACTGTCAGGGAAAGTGCTCAAACTCAATTGTTGGCAAATGTCCAGTACCCATCACTGAATGATCATCACCTCATCATTCAGCCTTCTCAACTGACATGCAAAACAACATCCAAATATTCATTGCACATCTGTGCTGGACAGATTATGCATTAGCAATTCAAATCAATTCAATGTACAGGCAGTTTCTGTAAAGGCGTCTGTTTGGGTGAGATGCCTTGTTGTCTGGGATGGATAATAAGGCAACTCTGTCTAATCTTGGAGAACAATCAACCCATCTTGAGAAGGTGACTGACTACGTATGCTCTTGCCCTGACAGCACTAGAACAATGGCCCCATAATGCACTTGACTCAGCTGGTAATAAAATCTACTTTTGATTAACAGCCGTGGCTTGTGTCAATCACTGCATGATGTACCATTGTCCTCTGGTCCTGAACACAGTTTATTTACAGGGAAACAAAAGCTTTTTGGATATGGCTGCTGCCCAGAGATTGCAAAATAGATTGAGCTGTCAGCCTCACACACTAGATGAAGATTAATGAGTTGTGCAGACAATAAATATGAAGCAATGACCATAAATATGCTAATAGGTATTATCCATATACACTATAATTGCTACAAAAATTAAAAAGTAGTGTGAAGGAAATAGGTCACAGGGTGACAGATAGATAATCTTGGATGGTGAAGATCTTTGGTTCAGTCAGATTCTCTACAGGTTTCTTTCCTTCAATTAGACCCTTCAAAAGAGTAATTGTTTAAAAGCTGTTTGAATAATCTCTTTTGAAACAGAGGTTTATGGGAAAATGTTTATGAAAAAGTAACTTCATTGAATTGGAATAAAAAAGGTGACTACCAAAAGCAGGCTACACAGAGATTAATGTCTGTGATCAGCTGCCCAGCTTCACTATGAGGAAAATATCTCTAAGTGGCACACTAGTGACGACTTCAAGGAAAATATACCAAAGAAACACGGCAGTTTATATCCCCAGACACAAGTGGGTAAGTTCATTCCCAAGCAAAATATAGAAGTGTTGCATGCACATCTGGTTGTGTCACATGTGTATGTTTGTTTGGTGTTTTCAGCTTAACATGCTCTTTTTTTTCTTTTTCTTTTTCTTTTTCTTTTCCTTTTCCTTTTCCTTTTTCTTTTCCTTTTTCTTTTTCTTTTTCTTTTTCTTTTTCTTTTTCTTTTTCTTTTTCTTTTTCTTTTTCCTTTTCTTTTTCTTTTTCTTTTTCTTTTTCCTTTTCTTTTTCTTTTTCTTTTTCCTTTTCTTTTTCCTTTTCCTTTTCCTTTTCCTTTTCTTTTTTTAACTGAGGAAAGGAAGGATGCCCACAGCTCAAATTTTCAGAGTACCTCCAACGAAGCCTCTGGTTTTCCAGGTCCTTTCAAAGAGCACACAGTTGAGACAGCACATGATTTTTGGCACTTAAGGATTCCATTTGAACCTGAAACTCAGAGTTAAACTCCAAACTATATTAGCTACATGTATAAATGATTTAGCACCTAAGACTACTGAGGCTGCTGAAACTGTAGTGACGCTGAAAATAAAGGCAGTTGTATTCTTGGTATTCATGGCTTTGGCTCTCTGTTCTCTGAGGCTTAGAATTGCCACTGGATACTTTTCAGGTCAGCTCACACCACCCACCTCCTCTCCTCAGACTTTTAGCTTCTGGAGTGAGGAAATTACTCAGATACTCCCCTAGAACCAATTTACTGTTTTAATGTCAGGTGATACAGATGAGTTATTTTCTCTTTCCTTCCATACTTTAACTAGAAGTTGCATCAGTTTGGCTTTTAAATTATCACCACTTGGAGTTTTGGCAAACAGTCCACAGAAGCTTACAACGGCCTTAGTGCTTCCGTGCCAGGCTCCCTTCAAACTCGGTTGGAAATCAACTACTCTTGCCTAACATATTGGAAGTTATACTTTCTAACCGGAAATACCAGTAAAACAAAGCAAAAAAAAAATAGGGGACCATCTAGAAAAACATCTAGATGGTGAGAGCAGAAGCACGTCCTTCTGGATGAATCAGAGGAGGGTGAGGACCCCTGGAAGCTGCGGGCTCAGGGACTGAGTTCTTGTTCCCAGTCCCACTTCAGCGGCGACACTGGGTCTTTTTAAACTGTAGACTGTGATGTTTGTCATGTCGCATGTTGCCAGGGCACAGCAAGGCCCTGTCCCATGACCCCAAACAAAGTGAGCACGGCAGACCCAGAGATGATAGGCAGGTTGGACAAAGAGTACAAATCATCAGGCAAGTTTGTAGTGATGAGGCAAGTCCAAGGTCAAGCCAGAAACATGAGTCAACAAATCAGGTTCAGGTCTGGTGATGGTGGCCAGGGTCAGTCACAGCCCAGGGACTGTTGGGCAAGTCTGTCCTTGCTAACCAGACAGGTCCAAGGTCAAGCCATGAAGACAGGCTGCAGCTCAGTCTGGACCAATGAGGTATGGCTGTGATGGAGCTGCAGATGGGTGCACCTACAGCATCGCTCAGGCAGAGACTGAAGGCCCAGAGCAGTCTGGACAGGGCTGTTAAGACCTAATAGCAGAGTCAGCCCTGACACAGACTTGACCTTGTTTTCATTCATTTTCATACAAGAGATTGTCCCAGATTTTCATAATAAGCTGAAGACAAGTAAAAGCAAACCCCTTCCAGGTCAGAACTGCTCCATAACTTACATTTGCTGCACCACTATGCTAACAAGAGCATGAAGGTAGGCACAGCTCAGCTGGTTTTAGTACCATGCCATTGATGCCTTCTCACATGTTCTTACAACTCACTGCAACCACAGAGCAGATTTTAGAGCCACCTCCTTGCTGACTAGGTCCATGGCACACCTGTAAACACAGACTTCCCTTGAATCTGTTTGATGGCTTCCCTCTCCTTATGACACTGAGTTTCTTCACCTTGTTTTATTAATATTAAATTCTCATTTCCCTGCTTATTCACTGATGTCTCTGCCAGTCATAAATTGCCTTGAGGCACTTTGCTTGAGATAGAACTTTTATCTATTCTGAACTATTTTTAGTGAAACAACTTTGTGTGTATCCATTGTGAACTGTGTTTTAGGATTGAGTAAAAGGTCATCACATATAGAGTCTTTGCAACTTTGTGAAACCTTAATTCCCCATGGCTTATGCTGGACTTTATCATCATTTCCTGATGGGCTCTTTGGAATATTAAATAAATTTTATAACAAAGCACCAAAAGATTTTAGCAGTTTTCAAGAAAGGATCTGTAGCAATATGTACAAAGAAAGTGACACTTTTGGTTTTATTATCACTTTGAAGAGAGCCTATAGCATTAATTGTCATATTCTTATATGGAATTTTACTTGCATTTAAGCTGCAACTTCAAATATTTTATGTCATTAAGTAATTCAAAATGGTAAATGAGAAACTTGAGGAATTATGAGGATTATAGGATTAAGATGCATTAAGATGTGTAAGGATGCATCCTAATTACAGAAGCCCTAATGCAAGCAGAGTAGAAAATATAATATAAATAAAAATAGCAAACATTAGAATTAAAGAAAACTAACATACATGAATTAAAGAAAAAATAAATGAAATAAAGGAGTTAAAAGAGCAGTGCTGCTCAGGGGTACATGGGCCAGATATCCCACTGCTCAGATATGTAAGAAGAGCGGAACAGACTTTGTATCCTTTGTTCTATAACCCACCATGTACAAGATACAGATATTATACAACCATGGAAATTCTCTATTTTTATTCTGCATATTTCCACTTGGAGGGCCATCCCTGTGGCAGTGTGACCCTCTTTACCTAAGGGAAGAGGCCATGGATTTTTAAACAGCCTTATTTAAACTACTGGCTAAGAAAAAACTGCAATAAAGGAGTGTGTGGCTTTTGCAAAGGCCTGGACATTAAAGATGGAGGCTCTCCTTTAGCAGGATTTGTGTGAGGAAGAACAAAACATCTGTACCAATCTGCTCATATGATGCAAGGTCCCCTAACAGTTCCTTCCATAAATAAATTAATTTAAACTGTCCATTTTTAATTGAGTTCTGATTTCCAGCTCTCTATCAACAAGTTTTCTGGGGGGAGCTGGACCACAGCTGAACTCTGGCTGCTATAACCAACTCAAGTTGCAGTTTCTGCATGACCACCACTTTGTTGCCTTGTTGTCTGTTGTCTTTACTCAGAGTTGTATTAATTCTTAAACAAGGGGCTGTCTGCTACAGGTGCAATTCAGTACAATGGAGTGCAGTGCAAAATAATGAAGAAGCAAAGTTCTCAGCCGCATCAGTTGCGAATCAATGGTTCATACACTACTAATTTGGTTTAGTATCATAAGAGCAGATTTATTCTCCCTGACAGCAGCAATAGAAAGGCATGTTTATGAGTTCAGTTTCATTTCCTGGATGAGGATAGGTTTCAGTTTCTTTTCTTTCTGATTGTGGTAGCAGTTTCATTTCTTTGCTGTTATCTAGACTGTATAAAAAGACTGGCTGAGCCTCACAGTGCTTCAGTGGGTTGCACACCATCAGAAAGAGAAATGTCCAACAAAAATGTCCGCAAAGCTGGTTTCACTTCATCCGGGATCAAAAAAGGATCCATTGCTTCATCGATGATGTCCAAGGAAGCAAAAGCGGCCGGAGGAGGTGTGCGTTCTGGAGGCCCTACTGCTACTCTCCAAGGAATGGGTATGAGCAATTTTGTGTGTGGTTTGCTGGTTTAATGCACAGGGCCAAACAATTGTTTTTCTTGAAAATAAGCTTGGCAAGTAATGTCTTCTCTTCTACGTTCCTGTATTGCACTGAAGACAAAAGATGCCTATATTTAACTGCATGTTATGAGTGGAATTCTATTAAGGGTGTTTTCTGTGTATGTACATATGCATGAATGTACACATACATATGTGGTATTCATGAGATTCAGGATAGGGTTTATTTGAAGTTTGTGCTACCTCTCCATTCTGTTAGGAGTCATCAATAATACGGAAAGTCATGGTAGCAAGAAGCAACAATATACTTATGCAAGAACATGATCTGTGTACCTATACTTCATGTAAATTATCAGATTTTTCTTGCTTTTCAGTCATACACATCCATACAGGGAGAACCCATAAAACGTTATGCAAATGCTATAGCAGAGGGAAATTAGCTGCAGTCCAAGAGCGGAATTCATGAGGGAATACATACACATCCTTGACAGCAGGCATCTAAGTACTAAAATTAGGTATAGCTGGCTTTCACATGAGCTAACCCTGCAGGTGCTTGCTTTCTGTTGTATGCACAGAGCAATCTCTGACCTGACAACTCTGAGAAGCTTCGCACTCATTTAACCCCAGATCCCGTGGGACTTGTGCACAAAGTGTTCTCCTTGCCAATCCTGCCTGCGTGACCTGATTCAGCAGGCATAACTCCACAGAAGAGAGTGCCCCACATAGTCCTGCTTTGCCCAGCAGCACAGTAGTTAGCTCACTCACCTTAGATAAAGGCTTCAAAACCCTTTCTGCCTTAGAGGTCTCAGACCCACGTGTCAGGAGAGTGCTAACCAGCAGGCTGGTTATAGGAGGGGATCTCTGCCATATTGGTCAACCGTTAATCTACTCCTTCTGTAGTAAGCAGCTGGAAGTCTACTGAGGGATGGAACTGAACCTGACTCTTCTGGCCCTAAAAAGGGTAGTTGGCCAGGTGAGCTGGCAAGGGTCCAGATTTGTTGCATTTTTTAATAATAAAAAATGTGATAACTTGATTGAGAGGAAGTTAAGTGCGTTGTGGGGCTTTGGGGGGTTTTTTAAGATATGATATACATTGCTGCCAATATTATTCGTAGTGTGAGGTCCTCTAGACAGTGAGGGAATAAGGGTCATTTAGAGAGAGATACTGCATGTGACTTCTGTGAGGCATTTTTAAATTTTTACTCTGTATGGTTTGATCAGTGAGTTTGGGTCACTGAATGCAGTGTTTATTGAATATTCAATAACAAAGGGCTTAAGGGATGGTAGCAGCAGAGGAACAGAATATGACAGACAGTTAGGAGAGAGAAGGACTGAAATACAGCAGTGTCAGCTGCAGAGTCTTGCCTCTGTTACAGATGAGGGTGATACAGCAGTATTTTACACACCCTTAACCAGTGGCAAACTCTTCAGTGGTGATGCCACTTTATGCTGTAGATAGCATAAAGTTGCAGTTTCTAAACTAGAGGACTGAAGACTCGTATTCCTCCATGTCCTGAGAAACTGTAGAAGAGAGGGAAGCAAACATTTAACAACACCTAATTTTATTGTTGCAATGACTGTATCAACTATGGACTTTGATGAAAACCACTGTTTTGGTGAAGAGACACATGCATGACTCAAGGAAACCTTATCTACTCCTACAGGAGATACTCCAAAAGAGCTTTGATCCATGTCAAAAATGCTAGCTCTGTAACATTGCCAAGGCAGGTGTGAGTTTTGGCTCACTGCAGCAGGAGAGCTTGCCACACATTCTTTGCCTGATTGAGAGCTAAAAGGGCCTGATTTCATTTCCGCAGGTGCTCACTGAAATATCTCGCTCTTCAAACACATCTCCTTAACCTTTTCATTCAGACTGTAACCCCTCCTCCCCCAGAACAAACACGCTCGAAGGAGCAGCTGATTCTGCAGCAGGGCATGAGTATTGTTCAATATCACTTTACAGAAGATGTTATAACAAGCTCATCACCAAAATATTTGAGCATCCTCCAGGAATGCTTTAAGCTTTTCCACTAATATTTGTCATTGCTAATGCTTTACCCCTCTCCCAGGAAAGGAATAGTTTGCAATGGAGTATGTTGTTTGGGGCTTATTTGTAATGAGATGGAGACATACATAGAAATTGTCCACTGGCTACCACAGCTTGCTGTGTTTGAATTCTACAGGTATCTATTATGCTTAGGTTTATGCTATGGAAAGGGAACTGAAAGGATCGTAACCATCACCTGGAACAGTAAGTGGTAAGGTCTGCAGCAATCCTTAGTTCCTGCAGGGGTTTGATCCACAGTCCTTGGACAGATCCTCAGAAAATTGCCATTTCAGCAGAGATGAACTGTGCTGAAACTGTTTTGGAGATCCAGATTTATCAAAAACAGTCTATGCAAGAGTCACAGATTTTCTTTGTGTTCTGGGCATATTCACAAAACATTGCAAATGTCCTTTCCCCCAGGTGGCAGCTAAAAAGCAGTATACTGATGAAATACATCAAGTAATCAGCAGTCTCTTTGTCTTTTGACACATTCACTAGCCTTGAATTTTTTTTTAAAACCTTGTAGTTTATAATCATCCTATAAGGTTCCTTCCAGTCATTAATATCTCCTTCGTAACTGTTCTAGGTGCCAAAGGCTCAGCCAATTCATCAGGTTTTACCAAAAGTGGGATCTCCAGTGAATCCAAGGCCTCTCAGATGATGTCCAAGGAGGCCAAATCCCATGGAGGTGGAACTCCCAAGGGCAGTACAACTGCCACTGTCCAGTCCATCTGTAAGTGAGAGTCCTCCTAAAAAAGATGAAATAACAAATTACTTCTGAGAACTCAGCAGTATTTCAGCTTAAGCATACATTTACTAAATGAAGGGATCTAAACAGGAGAAGTGGCTGCATGCTGCTTGAAGCAACATTTCTCCTGTTCATTGCTTTATACTTGGTGGGAAGACGAAACTAGGGAATTAGTGGAAATAACTGTGCCATAAAGTTGCAAAGATAAGTGTGGATAGCAGAGAGAGAAATCTGAAACACATAGTGACAGAAAAAGGGCAGTGGAGGTTTAGGTTATGCTTTCATCAGCATCACAGTGGAAGTTCAGTAATTTTTTTTTCATACACAAATTAGGACCAAACCAAGAGCTTCACATTTGAACATAAGAAACAGATTAAGTAGGAAGAAACAGTGAAACATGAGAATGGAGTTATCAAGCTGACAGATAGAAATCACTAGTCTACTTCTTGTGGCCTTTTAGAACAGCTTAGCTTTCTTTCCTTTAAAGGAAATTCACTTGGCCAAAAGCAGAGGGATCTACCTGCACTTCCCAGCTCAAAGCAGAGAATAGCACAATTTTTTCTAATCACCTTGCCAAGTTAATGCAGCCCACATCTAGATAAATCAAACCAAGGTATGAGGAAGCCTAATCTATACCTGAATGCATCGGCAGGGATGCTAATTATGGTAGTGGGATCCTACCCAGCAGGGTTTGGAAGAGAATTGGAGACAAGATTGAAGTTTTTAATTTCAAAAAATCTCTTTCAAAGTGTAATACAAACCTTTGGTCTCTGATCTGGGAATATTTGTTACCAATGTTGAGATATTCTGTTATGTTTACCTGTACTGCAACTTTGCTTTAAGTTGTTCTCACACATTTATTTGTATTTGACCTTAGCAATGGGTGGCAAAGGAAGCACTGATTAGAAGAAAAACCTCAGTCCAGAAGTAAGCTCTGCAAACAGTTCATCCTTTACCAGAATAGTCATTTGACAGCTTCTCCCCTTCTTTGCTCTCCCTGTGCCTGACAAGAAAGGCAAAGTCTTTTTCACATGCACAAATAAAGTTTATACTAAAATGATGGATTCTTGCATTCAGTTACTGGGGACGGGGATGAGGGGCAGTTTCTTCCTTGGTTAAACATTCTCTGAAGCATGGGCACGTACAAACACAAGCTGATAAATGGAAGCTAAGGTACTCTGGACTGCAAGGGTGTCTTTCAAAAATCCTGGGTTTAGCAATGCTAGACTCTCCAGTTACAGTTAGCTTGCTTTGTTTATTTTACACAAAGTTATCACAGTGCAGAAGTCACCCTGTTGTGAGAGAGAAGCATAGAAACACTTGATAAGGGGCATCTGGCAATTCCCTTTGGATGTACTTCTAAAGGGATATCAAATTGTGATAGTTTAACTTAGCCAACAGCCAAACAAGACACGACCACTCGCAGCACCACCCTGCCTTGCCCCCTCCCAGACCCCTTCCCCCCTCACCCAGGGAACTGAGGAGAGAAT